GTAATTATGTAACACACGTGGGTGTTTTGTCCACCTTGAAAAGTAACAGTCATTGTTTCAGTCACACCAGCAGCTGTTTGACTCTTTATCCTCATCAGTATTTACTGCTGTCATAAATACTTTACAAAAATGTTATCACAAGCTTGGTATTTAAAATACAACAAAAAGAGGATACAAACTAAACATGCTAAACTGTAACATAATCAGGATAAAAAAGATCAGATAAAAAAGAAACCATATACAAATGTAAATTAATAAGGAGACAGGATCCAGATATTTGGTGTAGATTAAAAAAGAAGCTAAATGGTTTAAAAATATCATTATAAATTCACCAAAGTTTAGTGCTGAGTAACATTTTATAAATGATTAATTATTTTATCAAGAGTCCCACGTTTTCAATGAACAGAAAAAAAGATTTTTCCAAGTTTAGTACGGACTTCCAGTGAATTACATTGATGTGAACAAGTTTGGGATGCCCCGGATACAAGCGTGGTTTAAAACGTCCTAATAATGTATTGACAACAACATACAGCTATCATCTTTTGTTATTTTATCTGGTTGGGCTGTTTGTTTTTTTTCTCCTCCCCCCCCATAAAAGATGCAGTGATGAGCGCTATAAAAATCAGCAGTAATAAACCCAACTGCAGAATAGTAAACTGTAAGGGCTTAAGAGTGGAGGCAGAGGCATGCTGAACAAGAATTCGGGTTTTTGTCTTAATTTCTTAAAGATTGTCTCTGTAACGTTCCAGTGCAAATTTATCATATATTCAAATTAAAATCGGGTCATTGAACAGTGAGGACAGTGTACTAGACTTCCACATTCCCAAAGTTGATTGGGTATGCTGAAAAACTGAATCACATACTGAACGCATAACAAAGCTGACTCAACATTTTCCTGAACTTTCATGTAGTTTCTCAGAAAGTTTGAGTCTAAATCTCATGTTTTCAGAGCTGCTTTTAAAAGTCGCTGCTGTTGGTGTTTGACGTGAACTGAGTGGTTCACACGCACTCACGCTGTTCTTGTTGAATTTAATTATTTTGGTGTGCATCTTGATTAAAGTTTTAAAGGACTCACAGGACAGGGTTTGTCTTGTGGTCAGGGCATGTGATTTCAAATTGAAAAATATTTCTGTGTGTACTTTTTTGCTACACTTGACTTTTTCAGAGGATAGTGTTGAGATTTGTCCACGACGACGTCTTTCTGTAGGGGAAATTTATTTTGTGATTTAAGCATTTTAAAGTTTTTCTGAGGATTTAAATCCTAAAATTAATCTCTTTGCGTCCTAAAATATAACAGGACATTGGAGTAAAGGAACATCTTGGAAGGTTCTTAGTATCACTCCATTTGTGATTCTGAATGAGAGTGGCTTTCTGATGTGAAGTGTGACGCTTATTTTGAGCGACGAAAATTAATAAAATATAATTTTATTATAACATTTCAAGATCACAATAACCTTCCAATTTCAAACTAAAAACAAACAAACAAAAAAAACTAACACTAATAAAATACAGGGGTTGCTGACCACTGGTCTAGCCAGTACCAGTAGCTTGAGCTGGGGAATCTAAAACTCAAATGACTGAGAGCTACATAAAGCTCCCCACTATTCTGATTAACACATTTATACAACTAGATGGCTCTATATAAGTAAAAATATTCAACAAATCCTTTGTATCCTAAAACAAACTTATGGTAAAAGAAACCCCTCCTCTTGGTTTAACCTGATGATGTCAGACATGACATCATAAGCACTTTAAAAATCAGGAAATGCTGGATGGGCCATTCCCCACACCTGACATACATGAAGACTGAAAACAAAAATGCAACGCAAGTAATCACAAATGACTTAATTCTGCAACATCTCACATGATGAAGCATGGTCAGTCCAGATTAGATAAGCAGGAAGTGCTGAATCTGTTCTCTATATGCCTCCTTCTGGTACACTGAGGCTGTAAAGGTCGGTCCCAGTTTATAGAAGTGCTGATAGAGGCATAATTGAACAACCATGCTGATTATTGATATCACGAAAACACGCCAGCTTCTAATTATACCAGGCTGCATTAGAGTGTAAGGGAAGCGCAGTAGTTGAAAGGAGGCAAATGTCTCCTTTTT